TAGCAAATAAAAAGTGTGAATTGTATATCTTCTCATACTCATTAGTCGTATATAATAATTACATTGTAATAGGCATGCTGCTTGAATTTCTCTTTCTTTTTTTCTAATTTGTCAACAGACAACGAATTTCAACATTGAGCACTTGCCCTAGCCTAGAAAAAAGCTACATTTTGAATCATGGATCGAATTGATCATCCTATTGACGATAATGTGCTGGGATTGCTAGAATCAGAAGCTCTTCAATGCTCGCAACTTCAGAGATTTTCCATTCAGCGTTCTTAGGAGTAAAGGGTGAATAGGCCGTAGTAGCCTTTCAGATATCTCGGAACGACTTCTGACAGGGTTGATCGAGAAGTTCGATTTTTTCAAAAACTGATTGCCACCATTTTTTCTGGAATGCAGGGCTTGCTACAGTGATTGACAAAAATGAGTACTCGGGTTATTTCGTTTTTATTTTGTAAAAGCTCCGTTCAAAACAAAATTGCCCGAAGTAGAACATAAATAGCACAGGACTCAATTTTTCGAGCTGTACGAGTTGACAGTTGTAACACTGTGAAAGCCTCGTTCTAGAGAACCTTTGTTTATTGGCCTACACTCAGACCTAACGAATTACTTCCTCCTGGTTTGGAGATAGATATTTCCTATCTTTCCTATCCAGGCCCCGTCATCTATTCCAACCTGAATGAAATTTTATTTGTAAGCTCCAGGAAGAGCATGGATAATAACTATGGAGCATCAGAAGTTTCAACTTGGAAACTTTATAGAACGCATGTCAAGAAACGATGGTTTCAGCAACTTCTCGAAAAAATGCACATGATTTGAACCTGCTATAAAATGTAGCTTGATAGAAAGCCAGATTTTATCGTATGGGACTTACCACGAGTACTGGGATATACAAAACAAGTGATACTGTACATAAGGCAGCAACGAGTGCTCCACCAATTACAACTGGGAACATTCGAGAATGGAGAGCTGGAACAGCAACATATTCTAGTGAGGAATTCAAAGTGTTCAGTCGTTTGGGAGGTAATTTTAATGTCTAAGCATTATACAAAACAACTTTTTTGCCTTTCAAATAAACGTACTAAATAAAATAAGCCCAGTTTTGTTCGGTTATCCGTTGCCATCTTTGGGATGATTTCATAAGTCGTTCCTCACGTCCGGTTTCTCAACGGAAAAAGAGGACCTCATTAGATTTGATATCTTCACACTTAGTGAAGGTTTCTCCATTGAGGGACTTTTGCTAGCACGAAATCATGCCATGTGGTGGATGTAACAACACTTTCTAACCATGCTTCCATATTTTTTGCCAAGTCGAAGAGCGTTTGATTAAATCGTTCTCAAAAAGCGAAATTATTTTTTGGACGACCTGATATTTGCTCAGAAGTGGGAGAGGCATGCTCATGACAATAATCTCCAAGGCTAAGACTTTTTCCAATGATTTAGTGATGAATTCTTCATTGTCAAGAGCTTGCATTAAAAGCCGCACTACAGCAGCGAGGATTGAAAAGAGTTCATTAAAAACCCTCAAAGATTAGGTGCTCAAGCAGCAACGAGATAGTAAATGAGGATAACGTTCGAAGAAAGATGATTTTGTCACAAACTCAATATACCTTAGAAATTCTTCTATTAATGATGGCAAGCAACAATGGCTCGAGCCCAGACAGTGTACAGTTAACAGTGCATCAATCTTCGTCTCTCTCTGCTTGATTGTCTGAAAAAATAAGTCCAAATGGATTAGAATATGCTCTTGAGTTCCCTATCCATTACCAATGTGGCATCGAGATTTCTCTGAGACAGGAAAGGAAGTGGAAAGTGAAACAAGCATGATAAAGATTGATAGGCTCTCAACTGCCCAGAACGGCAAGAAGTGATGAATCTCCTTCTAGTTTATAATGAAATTTCTCGAGATTTGAATTCTCCATCACATAAAACTCTCTTCATGAAAAGCCTCAAATAGGTATTATACTCCAGGTTTGTCCTATCCTTGTCGATGGAGGGTCTTAGTTAACCGTTCAAGCTTCATTCTCACTGACGAAACTGAGACTAATTTTCAAGTGGTAGAGGTGCCTACGAAGGAACGGTTAAGTTCAGCGGATCCATCTACATTTTATGCTCTGTTGAAAGCGAGGTCGTTAGCAAAGTAAGTAAGATGAAAGTATTAAATCCACTTTTTGATGCTAACTTTCCGCCCCTTTATAGTTTAAGAAAATGAAGTTTCTGCACATGTTTAAGAAAATGAAGTTTCTGCACAAAAAAAAACTATTTTTCAATAGATATATACACTTCAAAACTCGAAGAAACGAAGAGAGGATATTACGGTGACATGTACTATAAGTATGAGACGACGCCGTGAGAAAATGAAGTAATTCAATTAGACAAAGCTCCCAGGAAAAATCCTGACATGAATATCCGTGATTCAACGATTTTTTTCTCAGAGAAAAAACCTTTGAAAAAACCCTCAGCTTTACAAGAAATAAAACAGCATCCCGGTTAGAATACTTTTTCATTCAGCTTCAGAAGCATAAGGCAAGCGAATAAGGACAATACTCAGGGGAAAGTAGCCCCTGAGTATTGTCCTTATTGTAGTAGTGAAAACTGAAATCAAGACCTTGCCCATATGCCACTTTCTCATAACTTGTCTGCTGGACTATCGGCAGATGCACATACATAGGTTTCCTTCATTCCGTCTTGCTGTTACAGTGTTTCAGTGAAAGTTCTCTCCATCCTTTAATGTTGAAAAGCGAGTCATATCACTGCTGCAGTATCAGAAAATAGCACAATACATAGGGTGGGGTTGGGAGAGGGGTGATGTAACGAAGAGTAGGTGCGTACCTCACATATATGGACCACAGTTCAAATCCCTAACCTCTCAGCCCCTCCCCCTCCTCACCCCTCGAGCTTGACTAACTGGCACCACATAGTTTGAAGAATGGAAAAATTTCTATACATTGTTTGACCACAGCATTTCATTGTATAGGCCAGATATGCATTCAATGAGACATTACATTACGTTCTGGATGACTTTGAATGCTTGAAGGTATCCCGATTCGTTGACTAGAGAAGACTTGAAGTTTTCAGGAAAGCCAAGTTTGACGGTATCTACAAGTCTACGTAATAGGTTCTTACCACGAGTTAAATAAACACCACACGAGAAGGACTAGAGATTGCAATCCCAAGAAATATAACAGCAATGGAGTCAGGTAATTAGGGGAAACTAGTGCAACGCGAAAATGCCATTCCTACGCCTTCATGAAAGGTCTTAGTATTGGATCAGCGATTAGATACGTTGTCTGCTCATCTGAACTAATCATAAGAAGAGTGGCCAAAGATAATAAATACCTCAGAAGAATTTCATAAATAGGAAAATTAGGCGAGGTGAAGAGGGTTGCCATCAGGAACTGAGGACCCCGTTGAAGTGGCTTCGCAGCAGACGGTGAGCTAGTGGGAAAGCTCCAACACACTAGTCGGTAAGGAGTGAGAGTACACACCTTAAAAATGAGGCGGGCCACTGAGTGAATTGTTTAATCAGTATGGCCGTATAAAGTTTCTACCGAACGCACCAAAATAAGATAGATAAACGGGGTGACAAGGATTAATGGGCGATATCGCTAAGGTGTCGTGTTATCAGCGGTGTGAACTAACAGAAATTTTAGTTTCACTGAATGCACAACTATTATCGTCTCTAAAAAGGAGGTTACATCTTAGAGTCTTTTCTCTTTTGTTTTGTTTTTTCTTCACTGACCATAAAGACCTCTCCGCTTGCTTGCAGTATGTTCTCGTAGAACGAACGAACGACATGACAAACAGAAATGAAAGGGCGCAAGTGCAACCCGCATTTCAACCGCTCCATCATCGTACGCGGTAGTGGTATTTTTTGGTGAAGACTATCAACTAATTTGGTCCCAGTTCTTACATTGAAAGGAAAGATGGCATGAGTAGAGGACATGGCTGATAAAGGTCAAAGGATCTGAAAGTCGAAACAAATCATGACAATCTCTTCCAAACATGATGATCGGGCATCTTTCAGTAACGAGAATGAGTGGAGAAGCAGGACAACTCTCACTTTACTGTAGTCGCGCCCAGCAACATACAATTATCTGCTGAAGTCCTCATAAGGATCTCAATATGAACAGCCAGCATCGTCTCTAGGCACTAAATTGTGGGTTGGAATGGCATGTATGATATACTTTGAAGGTATCTGTTTTCGATGTTCTGGTATCTCCTGTCGCAAGCACGCAATGTCATACAAACGCAGAATTTCACAAGATGGAAATGGGGAGTGAGGGCAACTGATTCCAGCGAACATCGCCTCAACGTCAGGCTCTCTATGAGCCTTCGTACAATCGTTAAACTATGTAGTTGTTTGCTGGAACACTCCACAGTTTATTTATGCGCTTCATTAGGAAGATATTTTGTAGTCGCCGTCTTCAGAGCCTGAAAGTATCATAACAACTTAGGAGTATCCCAATAAAAAGTCTCCACAACCCTACTGTCTTAAAATTCGAGAGCTCCAGGGTCACGCAAGCAATCTAAAGAAGGTTAATACCGTAGCCTCACAAATTCTTCAGAATCACTCAATTGGAATTTCGTAGACTACCATCGGTTGCTGGGTGGTTTCGGAGAATCTGCGGAGAATTCTGTATGAATACCAATTCCAGTCCTAGCGAGAGTTAACCTTCATTCGAAGTCACCTTGAAAAGGCCACACTTGTATGACTCTGTGATCCAGTTTTGTGTTTCGCTGTAGATATCATGCTCGAGATATCATTTTTTCAATGTTTCACTTTTTTCAAACTTCCTTGAACTAATCTTCGACAGCTAATCATATCACTTTTCAGTTTGATAAAGCTCTAATGTGATATTTGGAATGTTACATCCTTGAGAAAGCTCTCTATACCCGTCTCGAAATAAAGCTTGGATTCACAAGGTTTGAATGGATTCACAAGGTTACCTCGAAGGTTGTTTTTGATNGGCTCCATCCATTCATCGAGTTTCAACATGCTTTTCTACCATGCATGTGCATTTTTACTGCTTATCTTTGCCCTCACAACCCTAGCTCGGGAGGATCCAAACAGGGTGAGTCATCTCGCATTCTGTTCCAATAAAACGGATCCGAGCACGTACACCATGGAATAGAGACATTCCCATAAAGTCGTAGCAGTACATCAAAGCTTCTCAACGTAGAATGCATAAAATTCGGAAGAATATTCGACTTTCTAGCATGATGTCAATTTCAGTTATGTGAGGACTACCTGGAGGAAGGCTTCTGCCGTTTGTTAGTCAAGAGAAAGCAGTGCAATTTGGGCAGTTACGTTGATTTTGCAGAAAGAAACTGTTGGAAAACCTGTGGAAATTGTACACCGGTGACGCCTAAGCCTAAGGAGGTATACTACTTTGCCAATGGATATCAGCATAACTAGCTTGAGCTTGTATTTGATATGACTGACACATAATAGACAGAGAAGTAGCAGTGCAATCTAGCCCATATAAAAGAATATAGCTCGATTTCGAAAGGATTCGATTTTTGATATATCGTCAATTTCAGACATGTGTCAATAAGGCAGATGCTAAGACTTGTTATGATCTATACGAGCGAGGACAGTGCGAAGTCGCGAAAGAGATTTGTGCAAAAACCTGTTACTACTGCGATTCATAGCTTGGCAGCATATCACTGCTTGAAAGTAAACTCTTTCTCGAGTGTTCATTTTGTTGAGGCTGAATCTCTTACGTAATTTGTGACTATTTCAAGTCTCCCAGGCCATACCCTGTGCACAACTGGTCACTTATAGGGTGTATAGGGGAGTGGGGCACGATCTAGTCCGCGAGTACTCTTTTTAGAACTTTTCTTCTCAAAGCAGTGGTTGTTTGAGCGGAGTTCATAAAACGTTTGGACGCCGAGAAGACGTGCACAAAATCTAGGTCGTGCGATTGAAAGATGCTCCTTGCTCCTTTGAAAAAGCACGATTGCTGATTCGAGTGCAGTCCGCCATTCGGCCTCCTGCCTAACTGGACAGTTTATCAATAATCACCCGTTTGTACCTTGCAGCGACCACCTACGGACTACTGATGTGATCTGACCTTAATATCGGTGCTGCAGGTCGTGCGAGCCCTGAATAGGGTCAATTTAGTAGCTCAGACGCTGACACACATGTTTCCGCAACTCTGCACTGTTAAAACTGCTTGGCAACTGAACGCATTTGATCATCATACGAGCATTAGTTGTAAGAAAATAAATATGTCAATTCAGCTGAATCGTTTTTAACATCTGAAACGGGGACAGTTGCTTGAAAGAGAAGCATAAAGGCTCAAGCATGATCTGCATTGCACCCGTGAGAAGGGAAACGGTCTAATAGTTGTTGAATGTAGCAAGTACTCACACAATATCGCTCACGTGTTACTGCGCCCAATAAAAACTAACGTGGCAACACCAGTACTTACGAAAAGAAGGATCAGTAGTAATCTTTTGTTGTTTCCACGAAGCGATTTGATATGTTCGGAATAAGTGGGCTACGTAGAGATTCATGGGAACATGTAGTAGCCACGCATGTGTAGGTCGGTTGAGTACGAACGAATCTCGACTGCTCCTTGGTAAGTTCATTGTCAGTATCTTCATGTTCGGAGTTGGACGGATGTCGGAGATGCAGGATTAGTCTCCTTGAGATCAAGCACACTGCCGTCTTAGTCTGATTGACCTCCCGATATTTGCTCAAGAAACTAAGGAAATTTTTGACTTTTCACACTTTCCACGCACATTAGTGCAACTGTACTAGAACGTTTTTTTCAGAATTTCGATTCAGGCAATCAGAAGTGCATTTCTAGTATATCTTTTGTGTGCAGATAATGCAATCCCCAAGTTATCTATCAAACTGTGAAGCAAGATCGTTCTCAAAACTTCTTCGCACGTTATGGAGATATATAGAAGTGATTCCAATCCGCAGACAATTCGACACAGAACGCACTTAGTCTTGCCTAGTGCCGCGTTCTACGATTAGATGGATGTTGTGTTACTCATGCTCACAGCATGCCCATTGAAAAGACTGAACATATTCGCTTATGTTGCTTAGGATACCAGTTTAGTAGATTTGATTTTCGACGGATTCCTCATGTCCGTCGAAAAAGCGAATGACGCCTGTTTGAATTACACTCCAAAGCACCGATGTGAAAGACCACTTCACATCCTGTAGGACTTGCTCTTTACTTGACCTCCAAGGCACCGTACAGCTCGATAATATCGCAACCGATGTGAATAGTTGGAGGCATGATCGTAGTTATACTATGTCCAATTGTCAATGCTCGAAGACTATTGCATTTAGAAAGAAAGTCAAGGATACATAACTTGTCCCCTCCTATGCCGCTTCTGATTCTGATTGTTTGCTACCCTCACTCTGCACTAATCTTGATATTGGCAAATATTATAGAGCTTCCTCGTCGGTCAAGCTGTATAGAATCATGCAAGCCTTTTTGCCAGCCTTGTCTTTAGTTGGCTAAAATCGATGGCATATCGGGGAATAAGCAAAAAAGGGTTTTGGTTAAGCCAGCCACCACTACTTCTCTGCGCTCTAGCGCTTACGCTCTAGTATTGAAGACGGATAGTGTCCCCTTATTCACGTTCCATTGGTTTGGGTTTCTTTTCTCTTTCGCCGAAAAAAACTTATTATTTATGCTCTATGAGTCTAAGGCAAGGTTTGTACAGAAGAAGATAATAGGGGCTATGTGCACTTCGGTCAATATTGTTACAGCCACATATGAGTTTCACCGAAACTCACCTTCCGCGGCACTTCAGAAAAAGGCTTAATATGGATTCTATACCATATTCAGACCAACTTCTAGACCAACCACGAGTTCCATCTCAATACCATGGACAATCTTTCCATCATTTTTTCCAGGAAACGTCACTTTGCCTATGTTCATATATCATACAGCCACCTCAATGAGAGGCAACATACTCACTGGCTGTGTTGCGGATATCAATTCTGGAACGATGTAGCCCAGCCGATTTTGAGTCAGAAGAAACCCTCCCTCAAACGCTGGAGGGGAACTCAAGCTTAAAAAGACCCACAGTAGTTCTAAGATTCAGTATGATTCACTTCAGGAGGAGCTGTTTATTTGGCCGCAGCAGGAAGCCTGACCGAATAACTTGATAAACAAACTCTCGAAACTAAGTTACCGTGAGACTCCTATGTGAAGATCAAGGGCATAGGGAACCAGTCAACTCTTTATTGTGCGGTGGCCCATTTCATTGAAGTAGTGGGTCGTTCGTTGTTAATTTGCTAAAGACTTCGGAAGCATCACTCTGTTGAGTGTTCATAGTATGATGCATGATCTCTGCATTAAAAAAGGCTGATCGCTCAAAGTAAAATTGGCCCTCCCCAACTCTGTTCTCTTTGCTTTCCAGAGTGGAATTTTCTAATTCCTTCTCTTGCTACTAACGCTAGTGTACTTATATTTGGAAAATAACTCTCTTCCCCTTCTGACTTTGTGCCAACACTTGTACTTCAACCTCATCCAAGTTGCAGCGCACAAAATGGCGATATTTCGAAACTACAAGAAAAAGAATTTGAACGCCGCTGCTATTCGTTTTCAACCAAAGATCCAGGGTGAACGGCATGATGTAATGATCACCTCAGCGGTGATTCCTACGATTTAGAAGCTGAAGACAAACCAATTAGACCACCAAGATTCTTGATAGTCGTCAGTGGATTTGGCTGAGAGGATAGGCTATTTGAATTGCATCCTATTTTAACATCCCCTTCTTATTTTTTAACATACTCTTCCGATTAGAGAGGGTCAGACATCACATGCTGCACTTTATGAAAGCTCAAAACGAATTTGAACGCTATTATGTGGCCGCTTCGCGTCATAGAACTTCTCAAGATCACATGCGAAAACACTTTACAGAGTAGTGAGAATCAAAAAAACCCAAGTGAAGCAGAAGCTGCATCTACTGAAGACAATGCTCTGCGTGAATGGGGATTAGGAAAAATCACTGTGAGCCGATTGAAACTCACAAGAATGTGGCCGTTAAGCGCTAGGCTGAACAGCTGCACCTGCTCAGCAGTGCAATCCAACTGAAACGGTCGAATCGTTATGGCGACTCTCACAGAGCAACTTGGCTAGGATCACGAAGGCCTTTGTGGGAAAACTCAATAGGGGAGCTCAACTCAATGGAGAGCCCAGCGAGTCAGGCATATTCTTCCAATATGGAGTCATGAGATTTTCATATTCACAGTCGAACGCTCTGAGCGAAGTCTCATCTAGACTACTCTATGTTGATAGTTTGCCTTGATGAATTCTTTGAAACTAGACCAGTATCCTACATCTGCGGCTCAGAAAAACTGGTTGATCGTAGGAAAGAGGTCCTGAAGACTGGCGGATAGCACATTAATAAACGATTTTGTTACTTTTCAGGGTGAAATAAGTTCTGAGGTAATGCCGTCCTTGTCACCAACAGTACTCTCGACAACGTCGTCGTAAATTTCGAAGCATGTCAGAAGGAAAGCCAGTGTTGGCAGACAAGTAAAAGAAATACAGCTATGCAAAGGCGTTGTTAGTAAGGAATTGAGGGAAGCAATTTCAGAGTGAAGAAAGCTGACAACGATGAAGTTGTACAGGAAAACCAAATTTCAAGATGAAATAGCTGAAGCTGTCGAAGAAGACTGATCACGGAATGCTTGGTAGATATCGTGACTAGGCTATACTTACATCATTGACTGATTCCTCTCAAGGAAAAGTGAATTCTGAGCCAGCCTCAGAATTTCCTGAAAGAAGCTTAATACTTTTTCTAGGATTGTGGGGAAGCGAAATCAATCCATTCTTTATCTAAGCAGTTGGAGCGCAATCCTTAGCCGTCGCTGTCGATGTTTTCAAACCTCTCTTGCACATGTCAGCATACTGCACAGTAATGTGGCTTTGAGTGGAAACTTTTGAGCTTCAGTAGAAACTTAGGGAAGATATGAGGGTAGTGGTATGTTTGCATGGTATATTTGGAGTATATCTTGTGTAGTGAACGCCTCTATCACAGATTCATCAATATAAAACTTTATTATATATCTTCTTGGTATCCTGAGCTAATATTCCTTTCCGTAATTCGTTGCTCGCGATCATAACGGTCTTGGCGTTCATTGGTATTACAGCCGCTGTCGGCCGTCCAGCACAACTGTTGCATCTGAGCAGAATCAGCACAGATCTCCTCAACCTCCTAGAAAGAGGTAATTAAAATTACAACAAATTTCTCAAAGCGTCCGACAGTTTGCAGTTGAAATTGACAACAAATAGGAAAATCAAGAATAAGACTGAGCTGAGAAAGCATAAAATCTTCCACAGCGGCTTTCAAACTGTTAGGCTCAATGTTCTAGAATAGTATTCTCTCCGACTTTGCCTTATAATAATAATAATCATAATAACAATAACATTAATAATGAGTATTATTATTCTACGAAATGCTATCATTAATGTTATCAATATCAATGGAAGTACGATGGGAACGATACTTGTAATTACCTTGAACAGGCAAGCGCAGCAGAGGACCAGGAGTCCCGAGCTCCGTCAACGGAAGAACATCAATGATGTCGTCGCTCACGCGAAGTAATCAAAGATCAGGTAAGCTGGACACGTTATACGATATTTTCACGGCAGAAAAGGCACGGTTCACGAGAA